CAGCAAATTTTAAACGATTCACACATCGTTGGGAAAGCTTTTTGAACCAGTTTGAACTATTTATTGAATGGGCCCTATTCCCAGCCTGGGAAAACCCTGACGAACTTCCGGCAAATTTGAGATTTGCTCTGCAAGTTACAACTGAGAAGGATCTGGGGTCAACCAGGAAACCTTACTCCTGCACAGAGAACTACAATGGACCACTTGCACTGGGCTTTACTAGGCACTTCCGTTTGGAAATAGTACGTCTCACTTATTAAACAAATACCACCTAAAATGAAAGTCCGCAATAAGGACAATAATTTGGCAATTTTTATAGACAAGAGAGGGTAGCCTATATTCTTATCTTTACTGAGTGCAAACTTCTCCAAACTTATCAGAACATTAAGTTTTAATCCAAGCCGATCTGAGAAAGCAGCGGACTAAAAATACACCATTATTTCACCACAGGGTGTCAGTGTTCATCTAAACTTGTGAAGGTGATTAGAACAGATGAATAACATCAGTAAGAACCACGAACATTTATTTATTTGAAATGGATGAAATATTTGAATCATTCCGTGTCATTTTCCAATGTCAATCTTTTCTCTATTTACATGTTTATGCCCAAAATGCTATAATAAATATTCAAAGTCGTTGACTGTCATTCTCCTCTATGATCATTACAGATAATATCGTTGCAGGCACCTCACGAGCATTCATTCACTCAACTATTTTAAAAGACTGGAATTAACACCAGCTCACACAAGCAATCCTTTTAATAGTCAATTTAATTTCAAAATGTAGTATATAGGACTGCTGAAGTTTAGTGGATAAATATATTTAGCCTATTTAATATTCAGAATGCACAGTTGGAAAGAAAATACATTTATAGGGACATTTCATCGGGCTCAAGATAATTAATAAAGAGATCCTTATTCATTGTTTTAATCAATTGGCAGCCATAAAACAATGATGTGATATCTGCATTCTCATGTAGGCTATGTGAGCGCTAAATGCTCAAACCAGAAACTTCCAATATGTACTAACTAGAACACGGAAGTAGCTGTGCAAGTAGTCCATCCTTCCTGGGGTGCTTCTCAATTCATATTTGTGCACCCTCGTTTTCTTTCCTCACGTCTCAGCTCCACCAGGATGTGAGGGAAGGCTGCAAGGAAAGAAAATGAGGACGAAGGAATCGAATAAAAGCTTTTTTATGCAGAGCGTCACTTCAGAGCATCATCAGCAGTGCTCAAAGGATCTGCCTTTATGTTGTATTAGTTTGGTTATTTAAGAACTTCATAATAAATAATAATAAAGCAAGATACCCTGTTGAAATATGTGAGAAGTGTGGTTTATATAAACTGCACGGGTAAAGTATAAATTAAAATGATTGTGACCGATGTAAAGGGGGAGAATTTATACGTGCCGTGCGTCATGTTTGGTCGATAAAGCTCTTCCACAAAGGATACACCTGTGTATCCTCGCTCATAACTCCTCTGGAAGCCTCCTCACTCCTCGCGGTTTGGATGGAGGACAGAGGAGCGAGATATTGAGAAGCACAAGCACCCATGATTCATGAAGAACGTTTCTTGTGTGTAACAGAAATCAAGCGTTCTCTGCTGCCCTCGTGTGCCCATATGTAGAAACGTCACACTTCAAGAGAAGAAATAAAGAATTGGGAAGTTCTTAGACTGATCACATAATTAAAAAGATTATTAGAAATATAAAATGCACTTTAATTATTTGAATGCACAAAAGAATGTGGGCTACATAAATATACATTCAAACACGAGCCAGCCATATAATTAAGGTATATTTGAACTGACTGGTTGAAGGACGAGCGGATTTTTCATAAATGGCAACTTGGGGCAAGTTGTCATGGATTTAAAATATATATACATACACATATTAGCTGGCAGGAATGATAGTTATTATTGTTTTGTGTTTCATAACTTTTAACAAAAACATATTTTTCTGTTCCTATTGTAACTTTTTTTGTTTTGTCAAATCAACTTATATAATTAATGTGGTTCAGATAACATCACATTTTGAGCTTCTGTTGATTAAACCAATCTCATTCTTTGAATTAACTTAATTAAAACTTTAAGTTTCAATGAACTGAATTTTAATGCAACATGGTTACTTTTTTAAGTTCCTGATGTGACAATTTACCCCATAAGCTATTGGGGCTTGATTTCACAAAAGGTCGGTGTGTGTTAAATTAACTCTTTATTTTTTCCTGGGCTATAACCATGGCTATAACGGTAAAGGCCAAAATATTTCAGGTTTTTGTAACGTTAGAGAATCATGTAATATGCAACAAACTGTCAAATACAAAAACAATGTGTTTATAGTTACATTTTATATTTTTGTTATGTAAAAAACTTTTTCTGTTTCATAATTGTTTTGCTGTTTACATTTTGATGAAAAGCCTTTGGGGCTGTTTGGTGTTTTCACCGACGTCACATTCTGGTCGGTAACCCGGATGAGCGGCCATTATGGAGGCACTCGGATGTAAACAAGAGCATGGACTGCACTGTTTATCTGTACTACTAAACGCATTGTTACACTAAAAACACAGTAAAAAAAAAACATGGTAGGTGCGAAATCATATAGAGAAGGACTTATCAAGCAGGAGAGAACTGAATTGAAATATTTTCCTGCCATCGTGGCGGTAGATATCAGAAACTCCCTCGTCTTGCAGACATAACTTACTTTAAAAAAATCGGAAACATTACTGCTACACATTAAACAAACATAGCAACTTAAGTTGTATTCTCACCTTTGATGAAGTGCTCACTGCACAAACGCGCATTTTCCCATTCGGCTCCTCCGGACCGCAGCCGTAGGTTTGCAAGCCGTTTTTCCGGAGTTTTTCGGACAATTTCTAGCATTTCCCCCTTATGAACAACAACTTTTGGTACACGATAAAAACTCATCGTGTTTTGATCGATTTAAATAACGATAAACGACGCAAAACATAGGCAGTTTGCTATAGTGCTTTCTAAAGACGGTAAATCGCTTACTGCCATTCATTTGCATTTCGCGCCATGTTGTTTACTGTTTATGTTCTTTGCCTCCAAAATGGCCGACTTCCGGATTGATGACGCATCATGAAAACCCGTTGTCACAAAAGGTAAAGCAAAATCTAATTATTTTCTTTAAATCTTAGAATGAAATATTACCTTGGCGTTTCCAAGCAGCATGCTTATATTTACTTTTCAAATATCATTTTAAAATGTTTACTTTTATGATTTGATTTTGAATTTCCACCTCAAAGTGATTAACGTTAACTTAGTTCACCCCAAAAATTACTCACCTTCAGGCCATCCAATATGTAGGCGTCTTTTTTTTTCTTTCTTTACTAGAACAGTAAAGAATTTTTAGCTGAAACCAGGGTCGTATGGTGATTCATTGCATGTCAAATGCTCCCGTCACTTTGAGTAAAAAAACTAACAAAGGCTACACAGGCAAAACAAAATGAATACCCGTGATTCCTGACGATACATTGACTTCTTATTAAGCGAAACGATCGGTCTGTGCAAGACTCTGACCATAAATTTACAACATTAACTGTAATCCACAGACGTGTAACGTTAATCAACTGAGCAAACGGCCGTTAGCGCGTTCACGCCTTCACGGCACTGCTGCCACTACGAAACGTGAGCGAGCTTCCTGTCGCACTGAACTGTGCGCGTGAGCATACTCACCTTGTGACCAACATTACGTTCATCAACATGGAACTTGCATGTGGATGGATGGATTTGCACCTGGATGCCGCAACTATTTAAAAAAAATCAAGTTTAATCGGGAAGATTGTCTTATCTGTAAATTTACAGATTCACAATGAGCTCATGTGCATACGTCATAGTGCGACAGGAATCTCGCGGAGCTTTTGAAGTTCGAGGCGGGTACTGGCACGCAGACATCCCTCCTCCAAACCTTCTACAGTCATCTTTCTATGTATTTCCATTTCATTTCATGTACAGCATGCCAAGCCTTTCTATATTTTTGCCATATGATTCTATGATAAAGCGAACTCATAACTGAACTATTCTGATGTCTTGAAGTTGCAGCTTGCTTGCAGGTTACTCATGCATGGGATTGTTTACAAATTTTAGCAACTGATTTCAAATTACAGGACGAATTTGTAATTGGAATTACATTACACATTTTATTATTTGACAAATTTTTTTTATCACTTTTAGACTAAGGTCAAACTGTGGTTCGTGAAGGACAGGCGATTCATACGATAAATCTAGTAAGTAATCCTAAAAAAGTTTAAAATAAATAATTTTAAAATAAAAATAATTCCAAATAAATACAAAAAGATGTAATCAATTTCCCCTTCCAAATTTTTTGTATGTAGTATAATATATGATTATGAAGTCAGTGGGCTTTTTAGAAGATAGAAAAGATCAATTGTGCCCAGAAGTGAAACAAAAAGACATGAACTTGAAGACTATTCTACGTTTATTTCACGTGTTCTTAAATTGTTTCATTAATAACTTACAGGTGTTATTGTATGAAGCCTGATGCATTTCAAGTTTTTCTGTGTAGGCTACCTGTTTTAGGCTACTTCACCTTGTTTGTTTGTTTTTGTGTTCTAAATTAGGGTATGTGTATGGTTTGATATATTTCAGGGTTTTGTTCTTCAAAACCCTGCCTTGTCAAACTCTAAATAAAACAAATTAAATTACAAAAAATCAATAAGAACAATTTACTGCCATTGTGTTAATAACATGTAATCTATCAAAAAAAAATGTAAATGTAGTCTGAGCAGTATAACATGTAATAGAATTACAAGTACTCAGTCTGTTTAAGTAATACACAATCAGTAACTACCAGCATTGTGCAAAAAAAATTCTCTCCTAGTTTGTTTGTTTATGGTCTTTAGGATTTTGCAAACAAATGAGAGAGGTGCAGCAGCAGCAGACTCACATCCCACAGACCAATCACTGTAGAGAGCTGAGTCTATATATAGCAGTTCCCAAACCCCCCTCACACTCCTACAGTACCTGCTGCAGGTAAAACAATAGACCGTGTCTCGCAAGCTGTTCAAAGGCACCTCTAATCCGCACCATGTCGTTCAAGGGCCCTTCCAGGAGTTTCTCCAGCTCAAGCCTGTCCGGCAGCATGGGCTCCAGGGGCAGTTTGTTTGGGGTTTTCTCCCCATCCGCTATAGGGAATCTGGCAAACACACTGCGTCCGCATGTGCAGATCAACAGCAACACTTTACCCCCTATAGATGATAAAGAGACCATGAAGGGTCTGAATGACCGTCTGGGGGATTACCTGTCGAAAGTGCGACTGCTGGAGGAGTCCAACGGTAAACTGGAGGAGCAAATCAAAAAGGCTCTGATGAGAAAAGAAGCTGAGAGCGGCAGAGACTGGAGCTCCTATGAGAGGATCATTGCTGATCTGAGAAACCAGGTGAGCAAATAAAAGGTTTTGTTAGCTATCCATGAATGCTTTTTTTATCATAATGTACACCGACAATGTTTGGACACACCCGATTATTTTCCTCATTTTATGGCACAGTGACCAAAAAATGTCATATATTTGAGCTTCTGCAAAATCTCTCCACACTTTAGATTCCAGCTCTGCTCACTTTCTCAACTTTATGAGATGCAAGCTAATGCTGGACACTTGTTGAAGCTTTTCCTTCACTATCTGCTCCAACTCATCCATTAAAAATCACATTTGAAATTAAAATGTCATTGCAAGTGTGTCTAAACATTTAAGCTTGTAAGAACAACTTGCTAATGCTGCAATTATCTTTAAACTTTTAATAAGAATCTATTAAATTAATTGAATATTCAATTGGTTTAATAAAATGTAATATTTTTATAATGTATTTTTAGTTAGTAATCTTAATTTAACCAAGTAAAGAGTCACATTTTTCATTAGTGACCTCGCCAAAAGCAGAAAAATATTAATAAGAAAATGTAAAAAAAATTAATAAAACCAAACTGGATGCATTAAAAAGGGCCACAAAAACAAATTCTACATGAACTGCATTCACGGAAGAGATACATAAACATTTTACACAAATAAATGCATATGCATTACCACAGGAGCTTTTATATATATATTTGTATGAGATGTGACGGTTTAAAATAAGAAAATACTGAGCTACAATATATTAAAGTGTATTTAATTTGTTTATTTTATTATGGTTTATTTTCCTCTGTTAGTTATCAGCATAAAGTATAATGGCAATTTTTGCTGTATTGACATTGTCAATGTGAGACAATGATATCAGTATGTTTGTAGATCCAGGAAATGAATTTGGACAATGCCAGACTGTTTCTACAGATAGACAATGCAAGACTGGCTGCTGACGATTTCAAAGTCAAGTGAGATATTTATTTATTCTCTTATAACAAAACAATTGAAGAAATGCATTAAGTTTTAACTCAATGCAAATACACAGATATTCCACATCACGTCAATATCCTGTAAGTGTGACATACGCCCTGTAGTCTCTCATGTAAATGCACCGTCCCGTGCGGGCAGGTTCGAGTCGGAGCAGGGCATGCGGCAGGGGGTGGAGCAGGATCTTGCTCGTCTCCGCAAGATGCTGGACGACACTTACATGGGCCGCATGCAGCTGGAGGGCCAGATCGAGTCTATGAGAGAAGAGCTGGCGTACCTAAAGAAGAACCATGAGGAGGTATACGCCTTAAACACACTGATTAAACACATACAGATGTACTACTCATATCTGGTTTGTTTGATCTTTGTTTAATGAGACTCCAACAGTCTTCTAGTCCGCAATAAGTAGTTAACAGATATTTAAAATGAATGTTTAATAAACTTAAAATACATTGTTTTATGTGTGACTATTCTTTCATCATTTTTTAGGATGTGCCATTCGCAATGATTCATTAAGTGAGTCATGTAGGCCTACTTTTGACTGATTTCTGACTTTTATGTTTTAAATCAAAGGTTGATTCATCTAATTTGATTCAAGAACTTTATATTGAAGTTTATAGTTATTTATTTAATTTAAAGGGGTTGTATGTAGAATTCAGAAACCATGTTTGTTAGCGAAACCGGTGGCCATTAAGTGAACTGCACCCAGGAACGTATTGCTCGTGCGTGCACGTGAGATTAAATGCACTGATATACTCTGATGTGAAGTTCTCTAATTTTTTTTAATACCTCTGCAGCAATATACTGTTAACTAACATCCCAATGCCGTCCAAGCTGCTGAGAGCGACGATTAGATGAATATGTTAATGTAGTGTTGCGCGCTTTCCTCAATAACAAAATAAAACCCAGAACAAAAATGACAGTGTTGAGAAAGCAGTATTAAAAAAGCATATGATCGTAGCGATGTGGATATTTTTGTACAAACTGCAATTCACCAACATCATGCTAACAGATGAGGTAAGACAAATGAGCCTACACTGACTGCTGATAGTTTGATTATGAAGTTTTTTTTTTAATACTTTAGACTAGATCTGGCTATGGGAGACTATTTGAATTAGTTCGAATGAATCCCTTTTCTTTGGATGACACATTGTCATTGACTTTACATGACAGAATAGCTTTTTCACCATTTTCCTGAACATGCATTTGTTTTAATGTGCTAAAGAGCGAGCGTAAATGTCACGTCCTTTTGATTTTCACGGCAAAAATGTCCTTCACCAACAAAAAATCTGTACAGGCTTTCATTGGCAACTTCGGAAATCGGGGAAGGTCTCGTTTTTTACGTTGTTGAACAATCTGTTCACACTTTGGCAGTAAAAAAGGTGATTAATGCATGGAAATTTCTCATATAGCCCCTTTAACTTAATGTTTAATTTAAATGTAGGCCTATTTATGTATTTAGAAATGCCTATGGGGAAATATATGTATGTGTATATCTATATATATGGGCAAAATGCTTCTCAAACTAAGACGTGCTAAAGTTGGCAGTCACCATAAAATCAATAGGTGTGTTCGTCTTGAAGCAGCGCTACACAGACCAATCAGTATACAACTCATACGACATTAAAGTACCACTAGAGAGATTGGAAGGCATATAGAGCTGTCTGCTCTTTCAGTATTTTTGATGCCGTACATTGATCGCGCTGTTTCTAGCCGAACACACCTATTTAAGCCTACTGTCAACAGATGTTCCCACCTGGTTTTCAATGCTTTAGGCAAGCGTTAAACAAACTTAATTATCTAGTTGCCACACTGTTTCCAGATCCTGTTATTATAAACTGTATAACTAAAGTCATTTATCATTTTATTTTACAGGATGTTGCTAACCTGAAGGGCCAGATCAGCGACTGTCAAGTCAATGTGCAAATGGAGAATAAAAACAGTCCAGACCTCAATGAAATCATTAGTAACATCCGCAAGCAGTATGAACGAGGTGTACAGAAGAGTCGTGAGGAAACTGAAGCCTGGTATCAAAATAAAGTAAGTTGTATTGTGATTTTGTTGTCTCGCCCTGTTTTTTCCAAAATGTTGGCACTTTCTATCAATACACTATGCTTTGGTGGACCATTAGTGACGTAAGTCCTATTAGATCTATTACCTAAACTGTTATTTTTACATTAAAATGATCCTAGCATGAATATCAGATCATTTTCAACACATAAGTTGTCTGTATCTCCCATTCATTTGTAGATTTTGGCCTGTTTGCAATCTCATTCATCCTTAAACAAACATTTTGCTCTCAGTCAAACTAGTAATTCGAATCATATAACCCTTTCTGACTTAATGTATTTATTTTCTAATGATATATGATTTTAATTGTTTATTTAATTATTTATTTACGCTACAAAATAAACTAAGGGTAGTATACTATGAATAAGCGTACTACTTTATATTTAGAAATTCAGCAAAATCTTATGTAAAATCTATTTAAAACATTTGTACCTCCAAAGTAAGTAAGCTTAAGCACATCCTTTCATTTAATTTTAGCGAGTTGGGACCCTAATTTGTACCCTATGGGAATGTGCCTTCTATTTAGGAGAGCTTTGTGCATAATTACAAGGCGGACCTATACTATCATGTGTCCTGAATGTCTTGTTCCTCTCAATCCAGTTTGACAACATCACAGCTGAGGTGACTCAGAACACAGAAGCCCTGCAGACATCAAAGACTGAGCTGAATGAGCTGCGCAGGCAGAGACAATCTCTAGAAATTGACCTGCAGGCTCTGCACAACATGGTACAGTACACAAATGACACTAATTATCTGCATGACAAATCATTTTGCATTCTACACAGTCAGCGCTCTCACCTGGCAAATTGACATGTGCATCATTCAAACGATTATGAAATGTCCCATGCTTGTCTTCATGCATGCATGTCATCTGAATTTACACATTATCCTTGTGCGCCCATGTGTTTTCTAAACCATGAGAAAATAGAAGCTGAAAAACAAAGTGGTTTGTCAAGAGTTTTTGCACCTAAAGCAGTCATGCACAGAAACAATCACAGATCTCTGATGCACATAATTTTTATTAATATTATTTCCCACATTTTGGAATAATAGCGAAGATGTCTATAAATAACACAAATGGAAACATAAAGAATGAATTTAAAGCCATTTAAAAGGTTATTAAGATTATGAGAAAAATAATTTCTGTCAAGTGTCTAAACTTATTCTGCTTGGTGATTTGCATATTTGATCGTTTGAAATGTGATTGCAAAAAAATGTTCCGATGCCTTCCTCTGTGCATGCATGTCATCATGTTATTCCTGTGCACCAAATTGTTTTTTAAACCATGGCAACAAGAAGCTGTTTTTATACAGTGGTTTGTTGAACTTCCTGCTCAAAAATGATTGCATAACTTGACTTAAGTACTTAAGTAACTTAAGAAAAAATTATTAAATTAAGTAACTTAAAGGAGTAGTTCACTTTTGAAAAAAACTTTTGCTGATAATTCACTCACCCCCATGTCATCAAAGATGTCAATGTCATTCTTTCTTCAGTCAAAAAGAAATTAAGGATTTTGATGAAAACATTCCAGCATTTTTCTCCATATAATGGACTTCAGTGCAAACTGCAAACTGTTCAAAGGGCTTTAAACGATTCCAGACGATGAATAAGGGTCTTATCAAGTGAAACGATCGCTTATTTAATAAATAAATAACAAAGTTTACGTTTTATAAGCTCGAATACTCGCCTTGCTCTGTTCTGTGACGTATGTTTGTGACTCTCCTGTTCGAACTCGTTCATCAAAATGAACAAATCTTTTTCCGAGTCATTTGGTTCATTCAACGAATGAAACTAACGAATTGACTCGGAAAAAGATTCGTTAAATTTGAAGTGCATTATATGGAGAAAAATCCTGGAATGTTTTCATCAAAAACCTTAATTTCTTTTCGACTGAAGAAAGAAAGACATGGACATCTTGGATGACATGGGGGTGAGTGAATTATCAGCAAAAGTTTTTTGAAAAGTGAACTACTCCTTTAAGTAAAAAAAAATATTCAATTATCTTATTCTTCATAATTGCTTTATTATTATTTCCCACATTCATTTTTAACTCAATGCATTGTCAATATGATATTCCATATCATGTAAATAAATAAATATTGTTTAATTTTCCATATTTTAGAATAATAATAATCTATGAAAAAAAGTAAAAAAAAAAAAAAAAGAACAATACAGTTAATAAAATAATCTATTTATTTTTAAAAAAGTATTATTTTGTCCATTAAAATAATTGCAAGCATTTAAGCAGGGGTCTTTATTTGAAAAGGTTATTAAAATCATGAGAAACATAAATTCCTTATTCTGCTTGGTGCCTCTCAGATTCGTTCTCTCGAAGATTCGCTGCATGAAACTGAAGCACGTTACGGTCAGGAGGTCAGTGGACACAACTCTCAGATCATGCAGCTGGAGAGTGAGCTGGGACAGGTGCGTGCCCAGGTGGAGCGCCACACGGCCGAGTACGAGGCGCTGCTCAACATTAAGTCCAAACTCGAGGCAGAGATCGCCAGCTATCATCGCCTTCTGGAGGGTGTTGTTGACGACAAGGGGGACAATAACAGGTAAGATGGAAAGTTTGTGAACAATGATGTTTAAAAAAATGGATATTCCAGCTCATTTGACTCATCCATTATACTAAATTGCCTCAAGTCTTGTTTTTCTTTTCTTTTTAAACTACAAAAGCTGTCACTGGGATGATACCCTTTCACCTTCGTACCTTATTTATCCCTAAAGGGTGCTTATTAGTACCTAAAGTGTGCATTTTTGCACCTGAATGGTACATACTAGTACCTTTTGAAAGGGTACTGTCCCGTTTGTACTAT